ATATATATATATATATATATATATATATATATATATATATATATGTGTGTGTGTGTGTATACACATATATATGTGTCTGTGTATATATATATACATATATGTGTGTATGTGTATATATATGCATATATGTGTGTATATATATATACACGCATATATATGTGTGTATGTGTATATATACATGCATATATATATACATGCATATATGTATATATATATATATACACATATATGTGTATGCGTGTGTGTGTGTATATATATATATATACACATGTGTGTGTGTGAGAGAGAGAGAGAGAGTTGGTGGTCATAGCGTCCCATACTTTCATTCCCTGAGTGTTTTGGGAGCCTGGATTACTCCTCACAAAGTGAGGGAAACACAATGTCGTGGATGCTCTGCCTCTCAGGCCCAGAAATCTACTAAGGGAGAAGAGCCCCAAGCAAGGGTGAATGGCAGCTGCACCTCTGGCCTGGTCCTGGTGGCTGAGAAGACTTCCCTGAGGAATGACACCTGGTCATTGGAAGAAAGCAGACAGAAGGCTCATGCATGCTCCATGAAGGTAGTCTGTCTACATGCAGAGTGACGGGACATCCCCAGCAGGGGCATTGATGGGCAGCGCTGAGAACATCTGTGCTGGGTGTGGAGAAGGGCCTGCAATGGAAAGATGGATGCCCATCAGCTGGTAGGGTCATTAGTGCCCAGAGAAGCCTAGATGTGTGTGGACCAGTACTGGACATGTAAAGATGGAGGAAGATACAGAGGGCCCAACAGGACTCTTGGTGTGAAGAAGAGGCCCATGTGCAGCCCAGCTGTAGGTTGACATTTCTCCTTGACCTTTTTCTTTCTATAATACCTTAATGCCCGCTGAACTTAATCAGATCTGTCACTTGAACATCCCCCTTGCTGATGATGCTGAGGAGCAAAGGGATAAGCCATCTATTTCCAGAACCCAAAGAGGTTTAGGATTAAAAAAAAAAAAGTTTTCAATTAGCTGGTCCTCCCACTGCACCTTCTTCAGGCCAGCTGGATGACTCGTGCATCTTTGAGACCCTCTGAGAAGATTGGGGCTCCAGCTAATGCTTAGAACTGCTGAAATGGCCAATCTGCATCTCACTAATCCCATCTCCTCTCTGCTCCTCAAATCTGATTTGGCTTTTAGAGACTGGGATCTCAGTGCCGAGCATCCCCACAGATCCCTACAAATTCCCCACGCGGCAGCCGGGGCCTCACCCTTGCCCTGTGGGATCACCTGGTGAGACTGTGCCAGCTGCCCCAGAGCATCAGGTTGCTCAGCATCTGAAAGCACAGATCCTCTCCTGACCTCCCTGGCCATCCCAACTGGTGACAAGTCACAAGGTAAGTGAACGCCAAACTCAAGCATTCTTAGAAAGCAGGGTGGGCACAGGGCAACAGGGACAGGCGATCTCCTGTGGGGCAGCGTGCTGGGCTTCGCCACCTTTGGATTTTGCTCGGAAAGGAAATTTGGAGGGCATTGAATCCCAGACCATGAGTTGGCCTTGACTATTCGACAGCCTGAGGAGAGGGAACAGATACGCTGGATGGAAAAAAGGTATGCTTGGTAGAACTGGAGGAGAGGAGGGGTTCTCACATACCCCTGGCAACTGCATTTGGGGATCAGTCATGTTATGGGACGTTTCAGGAACATTTTTCTGTGTTTCTCATAACACACAGAAAAGCTAGGTGTGGTGGTACACTAGGCAGAAGGAGTGCCAATCTGAGGCCAACCTGGGCTACATAATGAAACAAGAGCAGGGGGAAGAAGAGGAGGAAAGAAGAAAGGATCCAACTGTGGTAGAGTTGTTTGGTTTTGTTTGAGACAGAGACTTACCATGTAACCGTGGCTACCCTGTAACTCACTATGAAGACCAGGCTGGTCTGAAATTTTCTGCAATCCTAGCTTTGCCTCTTGAGTGCTGAGATCGTAGGTAGGAGTCACCACACCCAGCATGACAGCATTTCAGAGGTAACCTGACAAGTAATGACACCAATGTTTAATCAGAAAAAGGCAGAACTTTATTAGAATATAGCTGATGAAGTTTACTGAAATGTTTGAAGCTTACCAAGAGAAACAGAACACACCAAAATATACACTGGGCCAGAAATGGTGCTGCACACCTTTGATCCCAGCATTTGGAATGCAGAGGCAGGTGGATCTCTATGAGTTTGAGGCCAGTGTACTCTGCACAGCGAGTCTCAGCTCAGCCAGAGATACACAGTGTCCTCGTGTAAGACTCCATTTGAATGATGGGGAGCACTGGGCCTGGAGAAATGGCTCAGAAGTTATACGTGCTTGCTGTTCTTCCAGAACAGGTGAGTTTGGTTCCAAGCACCCAAGTCAGGATGTTCTAACTCCAGCTTCAAGAGACACAACACCCTTTTCTGGCCTCTACGGGCATCTGTACACATGTGGCACATATACTCATTAATAAAAACTAAGTATTTTTAAAGTGTGTACTACAGCGAAGTCCAAGCAGTCAGAGATCTGATTTGATCAAGCATAGCTGCTGGAGCGTGTGAGAGGAAATGTCCGAGGGAGGAAGTCTTAGCAGTAGGCTCTATGTCCAGAATGTCGTTAAGTTTATGTTTGGTATCATTGTACTTTCCCAGCCCTCCAACCTCTGACAGACATCCCAAGGGACAGACAACATGGCAGCCTGTGTGAAAACCAATAAATCCCATGTCATCTTTAAGAAGGTCTCTCGGGACAAGTCGGTAAGTGGTGCAGAAGAGATTGTAAGAATAAATGATTGTAAGGATAATAGGGAGCAAACATTTGTCATGTATAACCATGATCAACATCCAGCTACCATGAGGCCTAGGGGGACACTCTGTGTCTGTGGGACGGACAATCAGTGAGAGAAGACCGAGGAACAATGGTGGATCCTACAACCCACCATCTCTCAGGCTCATTGTCCCACCCCAGCCTTGCTTCTCTTCCTTGCTAGATTGTGGGAATGTTACATGTTGCAGCACAGGCCAATCTGAAAGCACACTGAGGCTGGTGTACCTAGTAATTACACCATGGACAGCGTAGATACGCCTTGTTCTGCTAGCTGGGCTCTTTACGGTGCCTCACAAAGGAATCAGGCTTTTCACATGTACCCTCCTCCTGCCTGCTCATCTATGTCATCAATTCCATGGAGCCCTTGGGTTCTTTGAGGTTATAGCTTTGGTGCCCTACATCTTTTCATTCTTCAACTCCTACTCCCACTGTGTCTGTCCAGTCCTTTTCATCTCTGCTTCCTACCGAAAAGAAACCACTTTGTGCCGGTTTCCCTGATCACTTATGATTCTCCCCATTACCACTGCTGATACTTGACAGACACTCCCCCAACCCAATCCTCCACCCCCACTAACACCTAACAGACATCCATTGTCTAAGATCATGCCTCCCTGAGACACACCTGGTCTCTAAACAGACATTGTTTGAAACAAGAAATTTACTTACTTCTTTTCTCCCTTCCTCCTTCTCTTCCTCCTTCCCTCCCTCCCTTTCTTCTTATTCTTCTATAGTACTGGGAACTTGAACTTAGGTTAGGGCCTCATATATGCTGGGCTAGCACCCTATCACTGGAAGATATATAAATATGCAGATAGAGATAGATCTCCCCAGCTCTAATTTTACTTCTATTTTGAAACAAAATCTCATGAAGTTTTCCAGGCTGGCCTTGAACTTGGACTCATTCATCCTTGGTATCCTGAGAAACTAGGATCCCAGGCATGCACTGTCAGGCCTACTTAGTTTTTGGCTAATGCAGGGGTCAGAGTGGAGGAGAATCCATCAATCCATGCTTTGTATAGTGAGATTTTCAATGGCAAGCCCTCTGTGCTCCTATCACGGGGTGCCTGACCTCTGAAGCCATTTCTCTGTTGTTCTCTCTTCTGTGATATCCTCAGGCTGGTGGTGAGGCCACCAGCTCACTGTGGTTCATGGTGTGAGGATACAGTCCAACATAATGGAGCCAGCCTGGGGAGAAGGGGCATGAGGTAATTGATTCTTAAGTAGGAAGCAGATGAGATATGCCCTTTAGGGTCTCTTTTAAGGGTCAGGAAAATCTTCGCAGGAGCTCTCAGGAAGACTTTCCCCTTATCTTCACTGGCTGGGTCCGAGTTACCCGCCTACACTATCCCAGTCACAAGCCAAGGGAATTAGATGCTCAGAATTGGATCAGACCACTCAAGAAACATTCCCTGAGCTGGAAGCAGCAGCACAGACCTCTGATTCCAGTACTCATGAGGATCCCAAGTTCAAGGCCAGCCGGAGCTACACAGAAAGCACTTATCAGAGAGAAAGGAAAGGCATACAGGCTGACGAGGTGGCTGGCTTGCTATAGAGATGGCTCAACAGTTAAGAACATTTGTTGCTTCTGCAGAGGACCAGGGTTCTGTTCCCAGCACCTACGTGATAACTAACAACCGTTTATAGCTCCAGTTTCAGGGCATCAGAGGCTTCTGCAGGCACCAACCACACACGTAGTATACATACACGTGTGCATGTAAAACATTCATACACATCAAAATAAAGTGAATGAATCCTTAAAAAAAAATGTTAAAGACAGGCAAGATTGGGGGAAGAAAGGAAGGTGAGGGGAGGAATCACCCATTAAGACAAGCCTCCTCTTAGCATTCTACCTCATCATGGATCTTGTGTGTGCATGACTGGCTATTTTAGCCAGAAAGAAAGTGTGCTTAGCTGTGGGTGGGTTCCCACAAGTCTTTTGGTTTCACAGGGCCACCCTTCTCCACCTCTTCTCGTCCTTCCCATTCCTTTCCAGGGCAGTCAAAGGGTGATCCCGCTCCCAGCTGAGCTCAGGATCACTCGCCCCTGGGTATGATTCATGATGTACCTTCATTGAGGAACTTAGTCCCATCCTGTCTGGACTGGATCTTCAGCCTCTCTGTCTCTCTTCGCCAGTATTTTCCAGAGTGTGAGAACAGGTCTTAGCGGGGCTTGATAGCACTCACCTTTAATCCCTATAGTCAGAAGGCAGAGGGAAGTGAATCTCTCTGAGTTTGAGGCCAGCTTGGTCTACATGCCAAGTTCCAGGACAGCCAGGACTACAATAGTTAGACCCTATCTCATATAATAAAAGAAAAATGACTTAACATCCTGTACCTTAATAATGGCTATTAATAGCTCCCCTTAGCCTTTGTCATCTCTAGCTCTCTCCCTCCCAGCCAAAGCTTAGGAGGAGAAAATGCTTCCCCATCCATCTCCCCATCTCCACCCTGGCCCTTCACGCTCCCTCTTCCTGACCATAAAGAGGATGCCTGGCTGGCTTTCTGTTGCTAATGGACCATCCATATTGCTTCTGGCAGGACCCAGATCTCAGTATCTGTAGAAGACTGTGCTAATCTCATCTCCCAGAGTTGTTTAGAGTTTGAAATGATCAGAGTGTCTAGAGTGGCACCTGGTTGTGCCAGGCAATATTCCTGAATCCTCAGACCTGGGTCCTAAAGACCTTTCCTGACTCAGCTTTTGTCCCCATTCAGCAAAGACCATTGCTGACTCCAGAAACATTCTGTTCACTTTGGCACCTTTCCATCTCTTTTGCCCAGAGAACCACTCCTGCCCATTGTCCTGCCACCTGCCTCTGCTGCTGTTTCTGACTGCTCAGGTAGAGCCTCCTTCAAAGGCAGAGATTCCCTCGCTCCTTCCCTCCCATGCCCTTTGCCTGCCTCTTCCCCAGCACTTACCTCAAACCAAGGTAACAACCTGGAGAGGTTTTGTCTCCATAGACCTGCAGTGCTAGGGAGGCCCCTAGAGCCCTGGAAGCCAGGAAGTGAGCTATGTGCTGGGATGAGGGTGCAGATCTCAAATGTTCCTGGGACACCAAAGGCTGAAATGTTAGGCATGTTGACTGATACCTGTCATCCCAGCACTTGGGAGGCCAAAGCAGGAGGTTTGAAATCAGCCCAGGCTACACAGTGCTAACAGAATGATACATTCTATCTCAAAATAAAAACAGGAGCAGCCAGAGCATGCTGGGATGCAGAGGACTTGCAGTACCAAAATGTGCTCTTGAAGCATGGGTAGGGCTTCCTCAGCTAGAGACATGGATGAAGAGCCTTCCTCGCTGTGCAGACAGCAGGGCCAGAGAGGTTCAACTATGATGGTACTATGACAGAGTTGCCATGGCCAGGGCCAAGGTGAGGGCAGAGGGGCCTGGAGCCCAGAGATAAAGATCAATCCTGTTGACCACCTTCAAGGACCTTGATGCTATTCCACAAGAGGAAGGAAACAGACACATCTATGAATTAGGAAGTGGCCACATGTTAGGGTTCCTAAAAGAACAGAAATAAGTGTATTTGAGGAGAGTAAGATTCATGCTCTACCTTCCACTAACGTATAGGTTGGCCTGTCAGATTTACCTGGTTATCTAGGCTTGATGAGGAGAGGAGGAGAGAACAGACTGGAAAGAATTCCTACTATCCTTATGAATGGAAATAATTCCTTGGAGCCCATGTAAGGGTAGAAGACAGCATGCTGCGCTTGAAATGAACCATTGTCACCACAGGGAGAAAGGGAAGCTACAGAGCATCTGTGGGGCCAAGTGACTCCTCTTTCAGAGACTAACGGAAAGGGCCTTCTATGCATGTGGCCCCAGGTTCTATTCCCAGCACTGAATAAGAGGAAGAGAAAAACACAGCTGGAAAGACTTTGGGGCAGCCCTGCTAGGCCACAGAGGAGGACTTTGCAGCCAGTCCTGAAGATACCTGATAAAACAGGGTCAGATGAAAGGGGAGGAGGTCCTCCCCAATCAGTGGACTTGGAAAGGGGCAGGGAGGAAATGAGGGAGGGAGGGAGGGAGGGTTTGGGAAGGAATGAGGGAACAGGATACAGCTGGGATACAGAGTTAATAAAATGTAACTAATAATAAAAAAAATAAAAAATAAATTAAAAAAAAAGACTTTGGGGTTGTTGACTTCCAAAATGAATATTTTTGTTCTTCCTGCAGGTGACCATCTATCTGGGGAAGAGAGACTACATAGACCATGTCAGCCGAGTAGAACCTGTAGGTAAGTTGAGTTTGGAGGCAAATTTAATGTTAGCTTTCCTGTAAGTCATCAGATTGATAGTTTCTCATGAAAAATTAAAAGAAGGAGGAGGAGGAGAAGAAGAATCATCTCCAGTAGGGCATAGTGGTGCAGGCCTTTAATCCCATCACTCAGGAGGTGGCATCAGGTGGATCTCTGTGAATTCAAAGGCAACATAGTGAATTCAAAGGTCTACATAGTGAATTTCTGGATAGTCAGGATATATAGAGAGAACTTATCTCAAAAAGCAAACAAAAAGATAGATCTCAGGCTAGAGAGATGGCTCAGAGGTTAAGAGCACTAGCTGCGCTTACAGAGGACCCAAGTTCAGGTCCCAGCACCCCCATGGCAGCTCTGTTACTATCTGATAGAGTAACTATTGTTACTCTATCTCCAGGGCATATGATATTTCCTTCTGGCCTCTGTGTACAGTACATGTAGGTGGTGTACATACATACATACATACATACATGCAGGCAAGCACCTCTATACATAAAACAAATCTGTTGTTATAGGTTAAAAAAAGTTCCAGCCATTTGACTTTTTAAAAAGATTTCTTTATTTTATGTATATGAGTGCTCTGTTTTCATACGCAACCATTATGGCTGTGAGCCACCATGTGGTTGCTGGGAATTGAACTCAAAACCTGAGAAACACTGGAAGAGTAACTAGTGTTCTTAACTGCTGAGCCATCTCTCCAACCTCCCCAGCCATTCAATTTTACCAATGAAGATGCTGGAGCCAGATGCTGGGGTGAAAACCTGCTAAACTCGGAGAGGCAGAGAAAGCACCCAGCTTACCTTCCTACTCAGCTCACATCTCAGAGGAAGAAGCCCAAGGCCGAAAGCCTGTTAGCTCACCCAGCAATCCAGGAGGAAAAAAGAGCCAAAAGCTGAAAACCAAGTAACTGAAGTGCTTCTTCTTCTCTGTGCTGTCTTTAGTAATCTTCTCTCAAAGCACTGCCCCCTTTTTACTTAATCCCTGTCAACTAGTTACTTGCTCTGACTCTTGACCTAAGGTTAACTTTATTAAATCCTGTGTACAGAAAGCTCCTGGATTAAAGGTGTGTGCTAGGGTTGAGCCACACCATAATCACCTGTTTACAATAAGCAAAAAATTCTTGGATTAAAGGTATGTGTTAGGGCTGAACCACACCAAACAAGAAACAGGTTTTTTACCATTCACAGTCTCAGGGTTCACAATGGGATCAAATATCCTGCAACACAAATCTTTAAAAAAGTCAGTCTCAGGGGCTGGAGAGATGGCTCAGAGGTTAAGAGCCCTGGCTGCTGTTCCAGAGATCCAGAGTTTAGTTTCCAGCAACCACGTGGTGGCTCACAACCATCTGTTAGGAGATCTGGTGCCCTCTGTGGCATGCAGGTGTACATGCAGACAGAACATTGTATACATAATAAATAAATAAATCTTTTTAAAAAAAATCAATCTCAGCCAGGTAGTGGTAACATACACCTTTAATTCCAGCACTTGGGAGACAGAGGCAGGCGGATCTCTGAGTTTGAGCCTGCTATAGAACCAGCTTGCTCTATACAGGGAGTTCCAAGACAGCCAGGGCTACACAGAGAAACTTTGTCTTGGGAAAAATAAATAGATAGATAGATAGATAGATAGATAGATAGATAGATAGATAGATAGATATAGAAAAGTCAGTCTCATTAAAAACCTAATCAAATAAGTAGAAATTAAAGTGTCAGTGAGTGGCCACTGGTTGGCCAGAAACAATGTATTTTTACATTTGTTTATTTATTTATTTGCGGGGGAGGATATATGTGTGGAGGTCAGAGGACAATTTTATGTAGTCAGTTCTCTTGCACCTTTGTGTGGTTCCAGGGATTGAACTCAGGTGCAGCAAGCATCTTTATGCACTAAGCCATCTTGCTGGTCCTTCAAAATAAATAGAAAGAAAGAAAGAAAGAAAGAAAGAAAGAAAGAAAGAAAGAAAGAAAGAAAGAAAGAAAGAAAGAAAGAAAGAAAGAA